TTCAATTTAATTGAAGTGATATAATTTCCCAAAGCAATGCTTGAATCGTCTAGAATAGATCAGTGGTGTCAAACTCATGGGTTTTCGACAGCCGCATTGCATTTTGAAAATTGTAAAAAGAGCCGCAAACAGTTTTTGATAATGTATACTTAAAAGATATTTTTAAGATAGTTTTAGTTTGTGACATATATTGTGATGCAACTAAACAGTTGGATTAAGTTTTATTATTTTCTTCAATTTCAAATGCAATTACATATTAATATTTGCATTCCACTATTATTGCAACATTTGCAAGTTACAGTATTTATTATTAAAAATCGGAAAATTCTATGTACAACCATCAAAATCATTTTTGAACAAGCTTTGAATAAGGAAAGAATAATACATACACTAAAAATAACTTAATCTAAATATATGAACCTAAAATTAACAAAAATACTACAGTATAAACTCAATGTTTTAATAATTACATTTGTCCTGGCGTTTGGCATCTTTTTTGTGTCACCAGCATACTAAGGCCAGTCTGAAATGATTTTATAGTACCAACTCTAACTAACGAGGCCACATGATCATGGGTTTATCTGGATCTTTACGAATGTTTAATTAATTCCAGTAGTGCAAAAAAGTTACTTTTATCATTTCATGTATAGATCAGTAAAAAAACAAATGACAAATTTTTTCGACAAGACATTGCGTGGCATAGGATTGCTTGAATTATTATTGATATTGATTTTTAGTAACTAAGTCGTTGTATAATTATATTAATATACAAACACATGGAAATTTTCTGTTCGAAGTTGGTCTTCGAATTTGTCATATTGACTGCTGAGCTTATTGTGTTTTTTGATTGTATTGATGGAAAAATGACAAATTAAACAATGTGCCTCAGAATTTTGTGAAGAGCAGAAATGTTACAACTCCCATTTTCTTCGAAAATGCCACCTTCTTCATGTACTTTGCGTTTAATTTAATTACTCAAGTGTTTTATTCAAGTATTCTTTTGCTAGCTTGATGTGTATTCTTAATTGGGTCAAAATGTGGACAAAAAAAATTAATATTCCAAAACTACTTTCAGTAAATTGTTTTCTGTGTGAATAATCAATTTCACTTTAGAAGGTTTGAAAAATCTATTACATTTAGATAAAAAAAAAACTTCCAAAATACTATTACAATTATTGTTAAGCGTTAGAGGGCCGCACTGGAAGTTCTCTGGGACCGCGAGTTTGAGATACCTGGTCTAGATTGAAGTTGTTCAAAAAATATATGATAGCATTTTATCATGAATGATGATTATACCCCTTCCGGAATTTCTTCTATAGTACTACCAAAAGTTGATGAACCAAATATAACACAGGTGCAGTGAAGTACCCGTAATCCTCATTTCCAAAGCTGTTTTAAGTATGTCTGGCGTGTGTTGTGTCTTTTTACAAATAAGACCGCTTATGCAATCTTACGCTTTGGAATTTTTAGTTATTTTCCTCAAGCCCTGCAGGATGTGGGGGCCATACACAACTCTACCGGAGGGTCAAATGTCTTTGCATGCCTCCATAGGTTGTTTTTCTATTGCAAATTTCTATTTTCTATTGCATTATATTTCTTGGAATCACACTGTCACTGATATGTCGCCAGACTTCTGACATCTCCTCGTCTGCTATAGTTGTCCTGTGAATAAATAATAGGAAATTGAGATTAGACGAATAGTTGAAAGTTTTGCTTTATGTCGGCTTAATTTCTTGATTGATATACTTACTATTTCTGCTATTGCCTCTTGTGCTGCAAGAGTCTCACAATGCTTAGACAGGTTTGTCCACAACTTTCACATCTGAAGAAAGAGAGGAGATTTATTAATTTTCGTTAAGAATAAATAAAGCAGTCTATATGATTCAGAATGGAAAAGGTAATAAATCCAATATCTCATGTTTTATTTAAAAAATATTTTACTGAATTTGGTATATAAACCAACTAATAAAAGGGTTTAGTCAGAAAATTACAAGCATTCGTGGCTCCAAATACTTGAGAAATCAGACTATACAATATAGACCGGTATGAGTGAAATGTTAGGTGAACTTGTTAACACTTTGATTCAATACGCAAATAAAAGTGAATGCGTAATAGTATGTTACAATGAGCAGCAATCAACAATGAGTATATATCCTCACTGATTAAAAAAATCTAACTGGAGGTGCATGAACTATTTGAAACCATAAGGGGTAAGTAAATATGTAATTTCGGCAAATGGGCAACTACGTACCGTACTGAATTAATAACTACGTAGTATTTGACAAAGGCTGGCTTTCCCACATGTACTTAACAGTGCGATGCCCGGGTGTGATATACAACAATAGTATTCACCTTACCTTTTACCGATTTCTTTTTACCCCAACTCTCAAAAATATCATTAAAATCGACAACAACTGTCAAAGCAGGCACGAACACCATTCGTGTTACGCCTTGAAAGCAGCACACATCCGCTCGTTTTCGTCTCGTCAAGTATGTGCATTGGAGCGTGCTATCGAATACGATCTTCGGACAAAAATGCCGGAGTTGCGCATCATGTTGTTTAATGTCATTGATGTTACAAGCACATCTCAAATTTATCGAATTTGCAAAATAGAAAAAATACGGATCAGAACAATATATGATAGGCGACGGGCAGTTACCACAAATTTTTATTTTTATGTCGGCAAATGGCCGAGGTATTTTAAAATTGTGAATTGTAAACGCAAACGACGCAAACGCTGGTAAAATTGAAGACAATTAAATTAATAAAGCAATTTAAGACATTTTAAATATGCCCTTATCGGTCACGAATTGATTACTTTGCACAACAGAAAAATCATTTTTCGTTGTAAACGTCGGCTCTTTTAACAAGTGGCGTAATCGCGGCGATGAATATGTATTTTTGATTTAACGATATACTTCAAATGCATTTTCATTGTACAAAATAAAATTGTACTTTTCAGTTATTGAGATTTTTCTAACGGCGAAAACGAGTTGGCAAGATTCCAAAAATACGTATTAAAATTAAATACACCGTTTATCTCATATTTTTATGTCCACCGATCTCCGTGGCATTTCAGAGAACTAATATTTTAATTTTGACGTAAGAAGAAGCAACCGCGAGTTACGTTGGACAAAATTTAACTAATATATAAAGACATTTTAGAATTTTGTAGTTGTCAGTGATTGAATATTTCACGCGACAAGAATAATCATTATTTATACACTGAAAAGACGTCCCTTTAACGAGCGCGTAATGCGAAGACTGTTACAGGACGCAATGGGAATTTATGATTATGAACCCCCCCCCCCCCTTTTGAAAATCCTGGCTGCGCGCCTGCGGGCTTCCTACGTCAACTTCAACCACTTCAAAAACTGGCCATTTTCTTCTCCCTGGTTCATGGACATATCCTAAACCATCTGAACTTTCTGACTGGACTGTGGAATTTTCTTCGTGATAAATTGTCAAAGTCCTCGATCTTCCCCTATCCATACATGATTTAACCGTTATATTCGTTCCAATTATTGCTTGTTTCCAGCCCCAGGCAGTTATCCACTGGTATGTTCTGACTTTTATCTTTCAGTAGAAATTTTTGATGTGACAAACAATATCCAACCAGCTTTTTAAGATGTTGAGTTACCATTAATGCTAGTACTTATTAGATTTTTTCGTATACCATTGTTTGTTTTCTGGTTGACGAAACAATAAATCTCTCTCTCTCACCACTAGGCATAATCTCTATTTTTGGTGGTACATATTCATCGCTGACTGTATTGCATTGTCTTCACTAACAGCCCCATTAGGTGGAAGGCGGATTCTCATCAATCAATTTTATTCGGTCACACTGATACAAACAACAATAAAGGGACAAACAAAATACAGAGCACCTGGAGGACGGGCATAACTTAATAAAAAAGTTAAATACGTACAAGTACGTGCCCGTCCCCCAAGAACAGAATAAAACAAAAACACGATGTAACATCGGGCAACAACTTATAAATTCAAATTAAAATGTGAGACGTGTATGTGCTTTTCCTATACAGATATATGGATTAAAACACTCGCTGAAGAAAAATGGTGATGTTGTGGGCCTACCTACAATTATATTGCAAAAATAACACAGTGACAAATTTTTTTTTACTAAAAAACAAGCTTGGTAAATGGATTGGAGTGTTGAGTTCTTTTGTCGTTTTCGGTTAGTTCACTTTAAAATCATTGTATCCCTTCCAATGCTTCCAACATTAATATCGAATTTTCACGCACGACCACCATTCAGCCATTCCAACAGGCGCAGTGATCCCATCTTTTCTACGCTCTGTTCCATCATACACGACTAGATTCATAAAAAGATCGAAACCTCGCAATATACCCGTAACAAATCGTCCACCATTCAACTTTAAATCCAATCTTTTATCCATAAACCTCTTTATTTCCAGTGGATGGGCTTTGCTCATGTTGATATTACGCGATACAGATTATAGATACCGAAACATACAACGAGTAGCATTCACTAGTCTTTTCAAGCTGACACGTCCGCACCCGACGACGGGTCGGAACGGCCTCATTCTTATCCATTTTTTATTATTCTTATCCATTTTTTATTATCACAGTTAACGTATTGCTGCTGTCTGAACTGATAAACTAGGAAGCCGGGGGAACGCCTATGATTGTCTCCGAGTACCGTAACGTTTTGTAATTCCGGGCCGAAAGTTAGCAAAAGTATTTTTTTATATTTATTATATTTATAATAGCTTGTGAATTTTTAACACTGTGATATATAGTATCAAAACTAATAGATATTCTTTTTTCATAATTAATACTAAAAATTATAAATAATGGTCAATCATTATGGATTATGGAAACTACATGACGGACATATCAATGGGATACTATGGACAATGTAATTTCATGTAATGAAATGTTTTGTTATTTATGTATACCTGATTATTTTTATTCATTTATTATATTATGATTTTTATTTATTGCATAATCCACATTGTGGAATCATAAAAAAAAGTTAGCAAAAGTAATTGCCGCAGGGTTTCTCATCTTGCAGATTGCAGCCAATTGCAGCAAAAGAGATAGTCACATGATTTTCCATTTTCTGACTTCAGGACTTTGCGCGGCCAGGACGGGTTCTGCAGGTGGATGGGTTGCTTTCCAGGTCTTACGTTGGAAGCAGTTAGACTTATGAAAGTACCTGTAGCAATTTTCTCTGATTTCGAATTTTGTTTGTTATCGTAGGTAACTTCAGAACTTACTCAACTATACTGTTTTTTGTCATTTCATAACCAGGTTATCTGGTAGCATGCAAAGTCTTGTTTTGACCAAGGCTACATTAATAAGCATGACACGTGGGTAGATAAACCAAAATCTCACAGTGACTCTGGCCCACCTTGCTGCCCTGTTAAATCTTGACTTGATTTCATCTTGACTCTGGATTCAAGAAAGCTTTGTTCACAATTTCGAAAATATTTTGAGCAATAATTTGTGTATCACATGCATATTTTTATTTAGGGTATCCTTTTCGGATACCGCAGACCTATTCATTCGCTAATTACTATAAATTGAATGGACGCTGATGTGATAGTTGTTGGTGGGGGAGTGGTAGGTTTATGGACTGCTTATCATCTCAATGCAAAGGGTGTAAAATCTATACTCTTTGAACAGGTGTGCAATTTGTAGTTTTCATTCTTTGAAGTCTAATGATCTAGTTTTTGTGATTCACTACCCGGGAAGTGGTTCAAAATAAGATATCCTGTTTCAATTTAGTTCCCATATCCTCACACAAGAGGAAGTTCACATGGCCAATCAAGAATCACAAGAACATCATATATTGATAGAGAGTATGCTTCACTCATGCCTGAAGCCCACAGAAGATGGAGAGAATTAGAAAAACAGAGTGGTCGAAAACTACTGATGTATGTTGGTTTTTTGTATTGCTTCAAAAATGTTGCAATATTCTAAAGACTTTACTTTTTAAGCTTGGTATATCTGTATATAGAACAGTAATTCTTGTAATCATTTATGGATTTCTTAATAACTAATACCTTTATAATAGTAAAGTTGTTATTCCTAATGATTTTACATTTTTGATTCAGTCATAATCATATCGATTTTTGTGTAGAAAGTTAGTATTTGGTGCGGTATGAGCAATTGTAAACAACATTGTTTGAATTGCTGCATTGACTGTAGTCACTCTTTTCTTATTTCATTTTGAGGGCTTGATATCGAATTACATTCTTAAATGCAAGGATGGGATTCTCATACTTAGCTCTGGGAGAGAAAAGGCGACAAGACGGCCTAATAATTTGGCTCAACCACGGCTCGGGACACTCGAAGGTTCGATGGCAACGCTTGTACGATGCTCCCACCGCCGTAAAAATTGTATTTTATCAAACTACACCAATGAAGGACAGTTGATTGATCTTTGATCTAGTTTCAATCAGAACACATTTTTTCAGAGACACCGGACTTGTAACATTGTGGGATGCTAGACAAAGTATGAATGAATTCAATTGCATGCTGAGCAATCTAAAAAAACTTGGTGTATCTCATGAGATCCTCTCTGGGAAGGATTTGGCAAAACGTCATCCTGGTTTCTCTGAGAAGCTTCAATGTACTGGAATATTAGAAAGCGATGCTGGTTTGCTTCGGGCAGATAATTGTACTGCTGCCTTGCGAGTAAGAGTTTTGTTTGGTATTGGAAGTAGGATTGACTTTTTCATATCTATCCAAGAAGAGTTAGAACTTGATAAGACAGTTTATTCTGACGACATATTGCAGCCTCTTGTTTGGTATAAGTTCATTTCCTAATGCATGGACTTGCAAATATTCAGTCTTGTCAATCAACCATCTATGTGTTTTAAGTATGCTGAAATCAGAATCATGTAAACTTACTGCGTCATGCTAATTTGTTGCAACGTTCTTGCCATGCCTTGCGTGGGATTCATGTTGCAGGACTTCTTACTACTGGAGGATGGTTAACATAACTGTTGTTCAGCCATTGTTATCACCTCTGGTTCATGCATCTGAGACAAAAACTGGTTTGCTTTAAGATTGAATCATCCTACAGGCTACATTGATTTATATCGGGCTTGTCAGCACATTTTAATTCAAGGATGTGCTTTGTGACGTCTTATGTTGACATTGACATGTTTTGTTCGTACAAGAAAGAGAGAGCCAATGTGTTGTAAAAATTGATTGCTTGGTTTTACCTCTCATTTAATAATAGTGTTTGTTGTTCAAAAGATTTACATCATAAATTTTTTTTTTTTTCGTTTTCAAGGAGTGGTATACATCACATGGTGGTGAATTGCATGATAGTGAACCTGTGCTACATTTGGATGTAATCAATGATTCCAGAATCGAAGTCAAAACATCAGTGAAAACTTATCTTTGTAAATCAGTTGTATTGACTTGTGGACCATATATCAATAGTATTTTATCAACAGTCAATTTGAAACTCCCAATACAGGTAACATGCATTGCTTTCTTTTTTTTTAAAGTGCAATCATCTTTCATCGCTATCTCATGTTTTATGATAAATTGAAAGAAATATGATAGAAATGTAGCATCTAAAAGCCTGAACATCTCTTTTTAGACGAAACGTATCCTCGTACACTACTGGAAAGATGAAACTACATCTTCTAATTATTCCCTCGCAAATAATTTTCCTGAAGTAATTCTGATGTTGGAAGGGGGAGAAACGTACTCACTTCCATCGTATGAATACCCAGGTTTAATGAAAGTAAGATTTCACATCTGTGTTTCACAGACAAACCCTTATTTCAGAAAAAATCAGGAGTTTTTTTTATGAAATTTGAACTACTTGAACCAGTGAAATTTTCAAAAATCTTTTTCTACTTTTCCAATGTTACTTAGTATTTTAAATAAATATTTCAAAATTCAAGATATGCTATCATGGTGGATCTACTGTTGATCCAAAAGCAAGAGATTCTGAAATAACTTATGATGTTGATGACAAAAATGATCGTGTACAAAATCTGAAAGAGATAATTAGTGAAACCTTCCCTGGGATTGATTCATCCTCACCTGCTATTGAAGAAATCTGCATGTATACAGTGAGTTGATCTTCGAATATATTATAAGTATTAAACTTGAAGCATGCTACATGCATATATAAATATACATACTTCTAAGGATGGAAATGAATTCCCACCCATCTGAATTGTCCTGTTGAGTGAATCTATATGATTTGTATTATTTCGTCCCAGGGAACGCCCGACTCAAAATTTATTTTGGATTTCCATCCGAATCACACAAATGTTGTTATTGGTGCTGGATTTTCAGGTATGCTTTTTTAGCCTTGCCAGATTACTGAAATTTAGCATGTGGTTCATAGTACCATCTTATGTAAATAGTATCCTTATTCTACACGGATTTTTTTGTACGTAGAGTGAGTTCTTGTTGTTACTTGAATATTGAAGGAATACAGAATATTCATTGTCATTTAATTAATTTTTCTTTAATGTGGCCTCTTCCTCCTGGAGAAATTACATTTATATCTAGTGCTTTTATGCAGAAAACATCCTCTCATGCTCTGCAATCACGACTTGTGTGTCACTGTTAAAATGAAATCTATATTATACTGATAGTGAACTTGTTTGCTTTTTTTGTTGTTAGGTCATGGTTTCAAAACATCACCTTCAGTCGGTCATATTCTTGCAAACATGGCAGTTGGGCAGAAAACTCCATATAAATTGGAATCGTTTTCAATGAAAAGATTCAAAAATATTTCAAAATTGTGATGGTTCCCAATCTTGCTTTGAAAGTTTGTCATGCCTTCTGATTAGGTTTTGCTTATCACAGATAATATTTGATTGCGAATGATTACCGGTATTTACCTTGGTGAATTCAAACTCACAAATTTCATGGTATAATTGAAAATATCCTTCACTTTCATTTTACTTGAAAGAAGATTTATTCAGGTGCTAATATTGTCATCACTCGTTTAATTATTCATGAACTGGCAGAATCTACAATCTCATGAAGTTTTTTTCTTGAATTTTTTATTAGTTGAACAGATCATAATATTGTGTATTTTTCACAATCATTTTCAAATACTGTATATAGATAATTATGCACAATAAAATTGCACTTATGCAATCAGTACCTTAAACTTTGTCTAGGACAGTCTTAGGTAAGATAGATTATTATCGGTACCACATTAAATAAAGCTTATTGTCGTTATTGAGAACATATGCGTTAGCGACCTCCCTGCATCTTGACCCCCCCCCCCTCAAGTTGCATTGGGGGAAGGTTTTTGAATCTGTCTAATAATGACAAGCATTTAAAAATGTCAAATCTCTTGAGGTTGCTTCCTGATGAATCATATTTAGCAGGGCCGGATTTATCAAAACACAATGAGGTCTGTAACCAAGGGGCCTTGGACAAACAAACCAAAATCACGAAACACACCTTGCCTATATAAAATTCATGGCTAGTTGTAAAGGGAGGTTAAATACAACAGGCGGAAATAGACAAATCGTCCATATCAGTGCTCACTACAGCCGAAGTGAATTAAAAGCGAAAGCTCGAAATTTTTCATTTAGTCATGTCTTTTGCGCGTTTGAACGACAAGGAATACCGTACTTTTTTAATAATAATTCTTGGGAGGTGTCAATTGTGGCTAAAATTTGTGGGAGACATCTGTTTAAGTTTAGTTTATTTAGTTTCGAAAAGTAATGCGGGGGCCACTCAAAACTCTTCTGGGGGCCACGAATTGGACGACCCTGATGTATATAGAGTATAGACAAACCGGTAAGTGTTTTTATTGGAACACCACCTTTCCCAGCGCTTCTTTGTATTAGTACAGAGTTACAATACAATTCATGGTGCAACTCATTCAAGTATTTTGATAAACGTCGCAGTAGTGAGTCCAACGACACTCCATTTTTGCATCCAAATGATAAATATCCAGGCTTGTCCATGGGAATGGGATTCCCATGGGAAACGTCCTATTAGGCCGCGAGCCGAGGCCCTGAAAAACGCCTAGAAAGTGAGTTTCGTAGCGCACAGAAGGTAACTACCTAAAAATGATTTTAAAATGTTCCTTAAAAATTTGGTAACAAATATTGCCTTGTTCCCACTTCCAAAAGTTGCACGTTTTACGGAAAAGGCGCTTTTACTACAAGAAATATGTGCTACGATCTGTCCTATGTTCTCTACATTTTCGGCAATGAACAATGACTTCTGCATGACGTAACAATTGAATCGAATCAGCTGTTAGCGAGCGGATGAATATTAGTTATTACTGCTCGACCTTGCGTTGAGTTGGGCAGCCTTTCCATAGCCCTGTTTAGTTATTATGAGTTAAGTTATGCTAAGACGTTGTTGAAAAATGTATAAGTAAGTTATCAAACACTTGTAGATCCCTACCACGGATATGGGCCGTGAGACGAAGCCTTGAAAACGCCCAGATAATGAGTTTTCGTAGCGCACATCTGGTAACTAAGTAAATTCTTCAGTTTTGTGTGAAAATGAACATACTGAACGCATTACATCTTGTTCCACAATCCTGATGCGAAATTGAATATAAGAGGTTCCCGGAAATTCAATAACCATAAGTTTACAACACATACATGAGAACTATGCAATTCGAGAGCCCTACAGCACACTAACACAAATGTATTCCTGTAATGTTTTGCCTGACCAAAATCGGACTTCCTCAGTCAATCATAATTTATTAGGTAGATTACGAAAAATATGGCATACATGTAACCAACAACAAAAAATACTTTAATTTTGTGACAAGAGTCGCGAGTGACCTCGAAAGCAGCGACACCAACAACGCTGATTCACATTAGCGAATAAATTTTATGTAATAACCACAAGCAGTTTACAACAAGAACAGCATAAAAAGCTACATCCATTTTTATAGAAGCTATCAAACGTATTTCTTTTTAAGCAATGAAGTCACAAATTAACATCGTGAGCACAAAAACACAAATAAATCAGTTATTTCTCACTTAGAAATTTACCGGAAAAGTCAAGAAAATTAAATGAATGTACAATATGTACATAACATAGTGAACAGAAATATTACAATTAGTCTTTTTTTAGTTTATGTAGTTATGTATTTGAACAAAGGCAATATTATTTCTAGAAACAGGACTACGACACTAACAAATGTCCGAAAAAAAAACAAATAAATGATACTTATTAAATCAACTGCAATATCCAATTCACTTTCTTCTGAATTGTTTTCGAAATCCACTATCTCGAAAATCGACTTTTCCTCTATAAGTGTACTGTGATTTTTGCAGTCAATACAAAAACGAAAATCTATGCAATTTAAGTTGATTTTGGCACACTTTCATAAATTATGTTGACTATTTTTCTTACACTTGCAGTTTGCCAACTCAAGAACTGATTTGAGGGCCACATGCTTCTTCAGTGAATCATTGTTGGGTGGAGAGTATAATCCTTATGTTTGCCAGTGTTAAATAGACGTGCCCTGGTATCATTTACATTCTTCATATCCTCTTCATACAGTGAACAAACAAATTCCTCAGCTTTATTTATTAATGCTTCGTTAACCTCAAAAGATCTTCATAGTTGAAAAAAAAAATGAATTGAAAACCTCAATGAAGTCTCCAACATGAGTTTGATGGGCAGTTCCAATTGCAGAAAAGTGCTAAAGTATTTCAATATGAATAGCCCATCTAAGCTGTTTGCAACTATTTTGATTCTCATATACCTTTACGCTTCAAGACTTCTTGTTTAATCCATTTTATAGCACTGATAACAGCAGGGATTAGAGCCTGCGTTAGGTCGGATTGGTGGAACATTGCCGTTTTCTTTTGTAGTACAGTATCTAAAATGAGGAAGAAAATCATATCTGGAACAGCATGAGTGTAAAAATACCACTAAATACTAACTAATACCTTGAATACATAATGCATTTTATCTGATGTACGGTACTCAATGAGCGTATATATGCTCATTGCATGTACTACAGTCCAGCAGTGTTTGCATACCATTACTAGACTATATCTACACTAAATTTTGATATATCACAGTCTGAAATGCCCTATGACAGTATGAGTATGAACTATAGACTATATTTTAAAACATCAACTGTCTGTCTACAACTTGATTTCTCACCTCGCAATCGTTTCCAATGCTACTTTCTTTCCACTCCGAGATAACTTATCATTGCTTCCCAGGTTCTTGTCGACTCTATGAATTTAGATTTAGACCAACCGACATTAGTAAAATTGATTATTTTCTTCTCTTTCACACAACCGTGCATTACAGAAACAGCCATTAATTTCTATTTCCAAATATGCTGTGGCCTATATAGTAGTATAAGTCTGCTGAATAGGCCTAGTCAAGAAGAGTCATTAAATTAATCATAAACATTTCATGCAATCCAGAAAATATCGTTGTTTGTGACATATTATTCTACGTCTAGCCTTCATTAGAGTTACCGCACGGTACCTATTTAACAACGTCTTATGAGCTAGTGCTCAACTAAAATTGCTATTTATGGTAAGGATATACAGGTGTTTAATATCTTACTTATACTTTTCAACACCTCCTTAGAACAACTGAACTAATAATAACTGAAAAAAACTATGGAAAGGCTACTCAGCTACTCCACCTACAGCTGACTAGTTTGATTGTTACGCCATGCAGAAGTCTGCGTTCATTGGCCCATGATACCGGAAAAGCAGAGAAAATAGGACAGATGGTAACACATATTTATTGTAATAAAAGCGTCTTTTCTGTAAAACGTGCAACTTTTGGAAGTGGGAACAAGGCAATATTTGTTACTAAATTTCTAAGGAACATTTTAAAATCATTTTCAGATAGTTACCCTATGTGCGCTACGAAACTTGAAGATAAATGGCCTCGGCTCGCGGCCTACATGGGATGGGATGGGACAGCACACATTTGTATTTCCCATAGGACACGAAAACCGTTTGGTTTTCGGGGAAATGATGGTAAAACATTTCGTTGTGATCTTCGCGTTCATATATTTAAGCATAACTCAGTTGTTAGTTATAAAAATAGCAAAATTAATCCAGCATTAGCAATATATATACTTCATGAGGTATCTTTAATAATATGAAGACCTTTTCGAGACACCCTAAAACTCTATTTAAGCCCTATCATTATTTTCCGAAATAGACTTTTTTCATACGTTTCGGGTTCTGTAGGTGAACAATGAAAGCGCACTACTAGCTTCACATTAATTCAAATCAGAGTTACCATATTAGCTTTTTTACCGCCAAATTAAACATATTTGGCTTTTCGTCAGAATTTCCGTTTGGTGTTTTAGCTTATTTAAGTCTATTATAATGTAGATTATTAAGATCATATGAAATACGATATACAGTATATATTTAGTTTGCAACAATAGCCTAACGCCTAGATACTTACAGACTCACCATTAGGTTTTCTCACGAGCATCGATTTCTTTGTTTAGTACCCTAACCTTAACCAATCAGAAATAGGTTACCAATGACGTAACTATTGAAATTTCTGCGGCCGCTCAGACAGATATTCAAGCAGGGTTAAGAAAGTTAACTCATTTTCATAGTTTTGCGTGATGTTTGCCAATTTTTAGTAATGTTTCCAAAAAATAGTTGTAAATTAAATAACTTACCGTAATTATCATCATGCTTTCCGAGAAGCTTTAGTTTAATTGCAGTTATCAAAATTTAGTCTCGCGAACCAATGAGCATATATACAATGAGTGGAAACTTGCAAAGATTTGCTCATTTTGGTATTGTTCCCTGCATTTTTACGTCGTCCAGCTAAATGGTTCGTTGCATATTAAGAAAACGCATTGCTCGCTGCCAAAATCCCTTGCTTCAGCCGAGTCGGGTGCGAAATTGGCCGTATTGAGGTCTGTAATTCTTCAATACATATTTGGTTTTGGGTTTCGAAGTATGGTACGCTGAAAGCATACAACTATGAGCATATGCTTATTGGGAATGCATATCTATTAGGCAGAAAACGTATCTACAGAACCGAATATGAACCAGTCGCCGAGAGGGGTGCGGTTATTTATGTATTTATTCATTGATATAACATGGGATTTACATATTTATCCATGGGAGAGGAAAGCCGAGAAGAATG